GTCATGCCCATGCGCCGCCGCGCCAGCCGAGCCGGAGTGCGCGACAGCGAAGCCGAAGGTCGCGGGTGGATATGTGTTTTAGCACAAACACTGATCTAGATACATACACTGCAACTCCAAATTTCTTATCCAATACGCCCAAGGCTGAGAATGTTGGGAAGTCCATTCATCTGGATGATACCCAGGTTGAGTCAGGCTGCCTGGGAGAGTTGCTGCAATAGATCCATGAACTGAGTTTTGGAATTACTCCATTAGAACCGGACATGGACAATAAAAGGGAGGGAATTAGGTCAGGGAGGGACAAACTATAGGAATAATGGTGTTGCGAAAGCATTAAAAAGTCCAGGTTCCTTTTTAAACTGCTGTGTGGTGTTTCTGTCATAGACTGTGTCACTTAGCCACAAAGTAGATACGCAAGAAAAATGGGCATATGTGCTATAGTCCCGGGTGTCATGTGTGCAAATTAAAATTGCTTCTTACATTGCAGTTTTGCATCCTTTCCCATTCCTGTCCGATACCCTTTAGAGTAAGGTATATAATCAGGGGAAAGATCGAATTTACATCTTTGCTGAGAAAGATGTGATGTCCATATCAAGAGTCTGGTTCAAATAAAGCAACAGCATTTCTCAGCTAAAGTACGCAGTCCAAACTGCTTCTTTACATCTTGGCAGTAGAAGAACTGATGGCGTTCTTTCCCCACAAGGTGTCTCTCCAACCCAACCCAAGCTAGGCAGAAAAAGTAAATATAAATATGAAATTCTGTATATTAGCTGAATCCATCTCTCTTTTTACAAATTCCTGCTGGGCGGTTATGACTCAGATCGGGACTATACCAGGGGGCTAAGGGGGTAGAAGGAGATGATTTTTTAAAAATTCAATTTCATTTTTATTCTTTTGTTTCTTAGATTTATAGCTTCTCAAATATCCTACCCAGCCAAATTTCTCTTTTATTATTGTTTTTCCCCCATGTCTTCATTATCGTTCCTTGGTGGAAAGGCAGGATCAACATTCCAACAAGACACAAAGCAACTCATTGAAGGGAGGACTGCAGACAAGGGAAAAGGCTAGTTTTAGTGAAGGGGGTCAATTTTTGGACTTCCTGGCCTCTAAGTTGTGATTTTTGTGGTGACAAAGGAAGAATATTTGACTCGTTGAGTAGCTTTAATCCTTTCAGTTTTTAAAAGTGTAGTTTTAGATTCTTGTACTATTGTTCTTGTTCGATGTATTATCAGACTATTTTGCTTATACAGGTAGTCCTCATTTAACGACCACTTGTTCAGTGACCGAAGTTACAGTGGCGCTGAACAAGGGGGACTTACAACCGGTCCTCATAGTTGTGGCTGCTGCAGCTTCTCCATGGTCACATGATCATGATTTGGATGCTTGGCAATCGGCTTGCAAGTACAATGGTCACAGAGCAAAGTTAATGGGGAAGGTGGCAGGAGGTCACAAATGGTGATCACATGACCATGGGATGCTGT